TATGGTTCTTTGAGTTTTAATGATTTGCCAAACAGTCTTGAGGAGCCAGTTGTGATCAGCTCCTTAGGTTTGGTTCTCATGGGGAATATGACTGATTCATAGGGGGAACAATGTGGAGATCTGGTTCTCGGGAGGAATATCAATTCTAAGTTTGTCATCAACAAAAAGGGGGAAATTGATAGGTTACAAGTACCTTGGGCATAAGTACTTTACTTTGTGTTTTGATGATCTAACAAACTTACCATCCAGAACCAGATAAGGAACATGTTACACATTTACAAGACCTTGAAATCACAAAGTTCCAGGTTGGGATCCAGCCCTTGGGAGAGCAAGGTGACTGCTATTTACTGAATCACAGGACTTGCAGGAGCTGACCATAGAAGAGCTGGTTGGAAATCTGAAGACCTACGAGATGAAGAGGAAAATAGACAGTGAAAGAAGAGAACCAAAGAAAGAAAAGAACCTGGTACTCAAAGTTGATAACAATGACTCAAGTGAGGAAGAGTGGAAGGAAGAGTTGAGGAAACAGGTCCCTACCAGTTCCCGAGGAGACTGTATGAAGTCAACTCTCTAGCAGGAAAGTTGTTGCCTGCACATGCTATTGTACAGGAACAGTGCAACAGTCAACTTTTTGTGGAAGGCCTTTTACCTACCTTGCTTACATCATTGTAAGTGATTTCACACAAGTATAAATACAGTCAAGGAAGGTAAAATAACTTACTTCATGACAGAACCAGATAAATGACCTGAAGTATGCCTGGTACAATCATTTAAGTTAATCGACTCAAGATAATCTGGGCAGTGTGCCTTGAGACTCACAAGAACTAGATTAGGGACCTGATCCCTTGGTGTTCCCCTAGCAGAAGTGTAAGTCAACTATACAGCTGGAAAACAACTGCAGAAAGTGACTGCATGCAACTGTACACGCAACAGTTCAGTAGACAGTGCAATAGTCACTTCCCATTGAGAAGAGGTATGTACTAACCAAGATTTGACATCACTAAGGTGATGTCTTTTGTTGTATAAACCTGGTGCAAGGCACAAGACTTCCTCCAACACTTGCAAAATCAGAAAAGGAAATATTCTCTCAAGTGCTAGCAACAACCTCTCTCAAGAACAAAGTTGATGCAACCTCAAGGACCGGATCCAAGATTGAAGATATCTTTAGTCCTTAGGTTTGTTGAGTCTTTGTTAATTGTTCTTCATTGTAACTCCTATCTTGCTTTCTTAGAAGCTGTTTTTAGAAAACCCAAAATCCGTAAACTCTCCAGTTTATGTTGTGACTAGGTGTAGTCATAAGTTAAAGTCTTTATAACTAGAGAGTTACAAAGTGGCTTGTAATAGTGTTATTACAAGTTAGAGTGATTAAAGTCTTTGTCACTAGAGAGTGACAAAGTGGCTTGTGGTGAGAGTATCACAAGTTAGTCAAAGTCTTTGTAACTAGAGAGTCACAAAGTGGCTTATGGTAAGAGTACCACAAGTTAGTTGAGTTGAATTTTTTGTAATAGAGTTATTACAAAGTGGCTTGTAATAGGGGTTTACAAGTTAGTGAAGTTGAAAGCCTACAAGTGTAGGTCGTGGTTTTTGTCCCCTTGAGCTGGGATTTTTCCACATAGAAATCCTCTGTGTTCTTTATTTACCGTCGAGCTATTGTAGTAACAAATATAGAACCCGATTCTCTATACTGGCTGGTTTTATAGTCTATTGCTTACAGTGGGAACTTATAGAGAATCTGGCTCTCTGTACATTGGGAACTTATCATGTGTCTTATTTACATACTTGTTTAGTAGTTAGCACTGTACCAAACTGATATAGGACCAGATCGCTATACAATTTGGTTCATTATTATTTTTAGTGAAAACTCACAGAGAACCTGGTTCTATATACAATCTGGTGGACGCTTAGTTTCTAACAGAAGACATTATAAATGTTTCATGACTCACAAAGATATTCAGATTCACAGGTTGAGTCATTTACTTCATGCTTCTTTTATTTCTTTTACATACTACTTCCCATGCCTTACATACTCGATACATTATTCGTACTGATGCCCCTATTGCTTGGGGCCTGCGTTTCATGCCCGCAGGTGCAGGTAGATAGGCTGACGGTCCCCCTTATTAGGATCCTTGCTCAGCAAGACTTGGTGTGCTCCACTTGATTCAGAGCTATTATTAATTTTGGTATGTTATTTTTGTATGTAGATATGGGTACGACAGGGCCCAGTCCCGTCCTTTATACAATTGTACACTCTATTAGAGGTCTGTAGACAGTCATGTATAGTTGGACAATATGTGGCCTTGTCAGCTTTTAATTTTGAATGTATAGTTGCCTATAGTAGCCTTGTTGGCTCACCTTACCGTATTCCGCATGTATATGTAAATATGTCTTTTGGACATGTTTTCCTCACGTATGTTATTCACGTGATTCAGCAGTTTATTGATAAATGTTATTCATGACCTACCCTTAATTCTTGTTTATATCTTAGACGCATGCTTAGGGATGTTCGACGGGTAGGACTCGGGCACTCGTCATGGCCCATCGGTTTGGGTCGCGACAAAAGTGGTATCAAAGCAGTTCTGTCCTAGGGTTATCTACAAACCGTGTCTAGTAGAGTCTTGTTTATGAGTGTGTTATACACCACATTTATAAATAGGAGGCTACGGGTCATATAAGATGTTATCTTCCCTTCTTATCTTAGATCGTGCGATATAAGAATTCATTTTCCTAACGATGTGTTATATTTTCAGTGATGCCTAAGAAGGCTACAGCTGCCTAGAAGGGCAAGTCCATGGCTGATGAGACTACTAGTTGAGCGCCACGAGTTACCAAGGCTCGGGGAAAGTCTCATAGTGAGGTTCCATCTTAGACTTCACATACCCCCGCTCTCTCCGGACAAGGGGCACCAGCTCCAGTGCCTGCCCCTGTACATCCAGCTAAGGTTGGCATGTGGGTTGGTTAGGTCCGGGACCGACCCAGGCCCCCGAGCCCATATGGGTAGTGGGCCTAAACGGGCCTAACCATTTAAGCCCGAGACCAAGGGTGGGCCTGCTAAGTTGGCTGGTTCCTTGAAGAAGCCCGTGAGAACCGAACCGTTTGGGCTCGGGATCGGTTATTAAGTGGGCATGTTCAACCGGTCCTAAACGGGCTCAAACGGGCCCAACAACTATTTTTTTTATAAAAAATCCAATTTTTTTTAGCCGTTGCGACATTTAAAAAATGGTCGTTGGCCTACAAAAATAGTCGTTTGGGCTTTCTAAAATAGCCATTTAAAGCCCCTCCCCCCAACTTTGTTTTAACCCCAAACTTTTTATAATTACACTTTTTTCTATTTTCAACAATAAATACCCCCTCATTCTTTCATTTTTCTCACAAAATCATCATTCTCTTTCTAATTTTCTTCTATAATTGGTTACTTTATTATTGCAATTTGTGTGAAAAATTATGAAGTTGGTGAATTGAAGTATTCAAGTCTTCAACGATAATTAATTTTCAACAAGTTGTTCGTCAATTCGGTAAACTCATTTCAACTCTTAAGTTTTAATATTATAGTTTTGTTTTGTTTTATTTACTTTTGTATTGTTGGATTAATTAAGATGGATTTTTCGTTAAAAAAATGTTTAGTAAAAATAAGGAAAAATCCAAGAGTGGTGAATCTAGTGGCCAATCTATTCCTCCTCCAATTCCCCGGGATCTCCTACCCAAACCACATACCCGTCCTCCACCTGCTCCTATTCTTGATAGTGATAATACTTTATTACAATTTATTGAGATTCAATATGTGCATAATGTTGGAGGTGGTGAACACTTAGATCATGAATATATGAATGCTCTTTATGGTAATCCAACTATTGATGAATATAATGAGCAGGAAATAGATTTGGATGAAACGCAACCGGATGACGATATACCCACTAGTCTTATTGTCCCAACTAATCCAAATGATGCCCCGTCTGACCCCCTGTTACTATTCCTACTTTTTCTAGACAACCTTCTAAACGGGCCGAAACATCTCTTGTTTGCCCATTTCTTATTCAAATAAGATAAAAAAAAATAAAGCTAAGTGTAAAACTTGTGGCAAAGAGTTAGCTTTTAACTATGTTACTCGGGNGTCAGCCTGACCCTAGTACCGGGTCAAATCAATTTTAATCAAAAATTAATACTGTTACCGGTGGTATTTTATATTATGATCCAAGAAAAGATAGGGAAGAATTGGCAAAAATGGTTACTGTTATGTGCTTACCCTACAGTTTTCCTTCTAACCCTCACTTTGTACATTATATTAGAAGAGTTTTTAATCCTACTTATAAAGAATGGCCTCGCATAACCGTAAAGAGCAATATTTATAAATATAAACTTGAACACTACAAGAAATTATCCTTATTGCGGCGACCAAAGTCGCTACAAAATCCATGAAAGTCGCTGCTACATGTTATCAGTGGCGACATTTGTGTTGCTACAAGGAAAACTTTAACTGAAAGGTATTTGTGGCGACTTCAAAAAGTCACCGCTAAAAGCTCATATTTTGCGGCGACACAGTTGCCACAAAAGGTCACAAAACCCGCTACAAAAATGGTTCCACAAGAATAAAATTTTAGCTGGGTCGCCACTGCTATTCCCTTTTAGCAGCAACTGTTATCGCTGCCAAAACATATTTTCAGTGGCAAGTTCATATCGCTACTATAAATGACTTTTAGTAGCGACTCATGTCGCTACAAATAATAAACCAAGAAAGGTGCAAAACTTTCTGTTGCGACTAAAGTTGCTGCAAAAGAAATAAACTAATAGTGGCAATTTTAACATCGCAACAATTACTAATATTTTGTGACAAAATAATGTCGCCACTAAAACCTATCTTCTCAAAAGCTATAGTGACCNGATAGTGACCAAAATTATATATATTTCCGGTGGGAACCTAATTCTCTAAATTTAATGACGGGATATTCACATCTATTGACTATCAATATTAAAAGAAACCAATAATATTTAAAAACCACCAAAAGAAATTCTCAAACTAAATATTATAAATATTTTCATCACTAAAAAGTCAATTACATAATACTACACGACACTTTATTGTACATTGTAATTGTACGCATATACATATCCCAAAAAGACAAAATATTAAGTGCCTTGTAATTGCTCCTTGGTCGACACCATCCTTGAACGATACCATTGTTTATGTGCCTTGTCCCTGCTAAGAAATGTAGCAGTCGATCATCCTCTAAAAAAAATGTATGTCACGTAAATGACACTCACTCCCGTCCATTTTAAGGTTTTAACACAACTTTTAGAAAATCAGTTAATAACATTAATTATAAGGGAGTATTTGACTAAATTACTCTTTATTTATCTGCAAACATGAGAAACCTTTTTAGAAAGTTGTACAGATCATTTTCCCTTAGCTTTACTTCTTTCAAAGAACCACAGTTCTATTAAAGACTCACTTTAATGCATATGTTACCCATACAGATGATATGCTGAATCTTTCCAGGGAAGAGCAGCAGCAACGCCTAAAAGTAATGTGCATAAATTTTAAAAGAAACAACAGCAGCAGCAGCCCCCCTCAGGCCTTTTTTTTAAACACTACATATGCCATTGAAAAATCCAGATTTCACATAAACAAAAAGCAACCCAATAGTCTATTATCAAGAGGATGAAATTTAAAGAAGGAGAAGTTGAAAAGAAGATAGGGAGCAAGTGACAGAAGAATTATCCAGAATTAATGAAGAAGAAATGCCGAGAAGGAAGAAGAATTGTTAAGAAGCGGCGAAGCAAGTACCTGTTGTTGCATTCTGATCATGAAACTAGCAAATTGTTCATGCATCCTCTTGTCCACTTCTAGATGGATCCTCTTTCCTACTTCTACATTTGCATGTTCACGCTCCTCTGCCAACTTCCTTTGCACTTCTGCATTTGCGTGTTCACGCTTCTCTGCCAACTTCCTTTGCAACTCAAGCTCCATATTTCTTTTCAACTCAGTGGCCATTTGTTCACGTTCTTCTTGCAACTTCCTATCCATCTCGGCTTGCATCTCTTGACGCACAATTTTCATAGCTAAAGACACGCTAGACTCTATGTTTGCATGCTGCGTGTTACTCTTTTTAGGAGGCTTCTTTCCGTATCCTTTTCCGCGAACATAACCTGTTCTCTCACCAAAAATGGTGGATAAAATCTCATCTCTAGTCATGGGATGCTCGATCTCTTCAGATTGTTTCTGAGCGACAACTTCCTAAAGTTGACCCTGCATTTATGCATAATCATTTACATCAAAACATAATAAAACACACTCAATGTAACTTATAGAAACAGAAAGATAACAAGTCTATGATATTAGATAATTATATGAATTTGTTGGGATTGTGAATCCACCCACATCAGTTCTCCTTTATCATCCTTGCGTGTATGTTGGATCTCCCAAACTTTATCTGGTGTGTCTATTTCTTCGGTAATAGGATTTCTCTGCAATATAATTTCAGAGAAAAAATGGCTAAACAAATATATAAATATGTAAATAACAAAGAAGCATATGTGATATTAGGGGACTAAATATATTTTTACCGTAGATTCCTCTACTTCTGCAAAAGACCTTGTACCACAAGTATGCTTAGTTATTTGATTTTCTCTATTTCTTTTGTTCCTCTTACTTACAACCTATAAGTCAACAGATTAATAAATCACCTTTCAAAGATGTGAATGGTGCCCTTTGGTTAACAGAATCTTCATGTATTAAGTTAGTACCTTAAAATCCTGACTTTCAAAATATTGTATTAGGTATTTCCAGTCCTCAAGCTCAACATCTTCAAGTCGATGAGACAATATTTCTTCATTAGTATTGTACTTAGAGTACATCCTACCTAGTCGAGCTTTCCATGCTCTAAAAAGCCTTTGCATAGTGCTAATTACAAAGGCTTGAAACCTATGCTCTTACAGCCCGCTGCAAACTTCAAATTTATCCTGCCAATAAATATAATATTATATTCAATATCCTAACCACATAAATGTAATATTAATATACCAATGAAGGGTTCCTATTAGAGTATAACCAGTCAAGTGACAACACAGAATAAGATAATCTTTGTGCTTCTATAATAAGAAAACTTGATGTATACCAACGATTGTATAGTTTAAACTTGATGTATACCAACGATTGTATAGTTTAAACTTGATGTATACCAACGATTGTATAGTTTAAACTTGATGTATACCAACGATTGTATAATAAGAAAACTTGAAGTTTAAAATGTAAGATTGCAAATTTACTATTGAACCATCATTCAATTGGTATACAAATATTGGTTACAGAAGACTCTATAAGAACTGAGGACCAAGGTTATAGCTTAAAAAATGCAAGATATGTCTTTCTTATTCTAAAAACATCCTTAGCCACTGATGGAAAACGAAGATTCAAATGACAATAGATAATAAGAAATACTTGATGTAGCACCATGCTCGTATAATCTGAAGGCAAGTATAAATCGACACTCTGTATTTTAGTGCTCAAAAACCTTTACATCAGTCAAGTCAACTAACCAATCTTCATAGAATTAGATAATATAGCAAAAGCAAACAACAATCATCTGGATTGATAAGCAATCCACTTTATCCGTCATTGAACTAGGTAAATTGGATGAATCTAAATATTACTGGTTGCTTTTAATATGATAAAACCAGGTACTCACTAAATAAAACCAGTAAGTTGTTTGGAGCGATCTGATACATATAGGTACTCATGTCTTTCAAAGGCGCATCTTAACTAATTTCCTAATACATGTATTAGAGCAATCTGATACATACCAATAAGTTGTTTAGAGCAATATTGAAAGTAATTTATTACCTTGACCTTTAACCACATTGCTTCTCCGTGTTTCAAAACTATTTTTTGCCAATTTCCATCTTGGAACGAGATAGTGCTTTTCATGATCAAACCACAGTACTTAACAATATCTCTAGCCCCAGAACCTACTGCTCTATCAATGTCATCTGAAATCATAATTTTGATTTTGCCACCATACTTAGTTTTTATATCTAAACTTTTAGATTTGTACTTTCCTCTTCCTCTTTTTTATTGCTGAAAGAAACTGCAAAGTAATTGGATACTGTTGTTAATTAGTAGTTCCGCACAATTAGTAAAAATAATTTCACAAAACACCAAAAAATAAAAAAACTAACTTGCACAATTGTCAGCCTCTGGAGAGCGATGCACAGTTTCTGGTTCATTTCGTGATGATTGTGTTTCTAAAGAAGATTTTGGGAGAGAGTTACTAGATACTCGTCCGGTTTGTAAAGGTCCTTGACTCGGGTTACATGGTTGTCCTATCTCTACAGATGCACCAGATACTCGTCCAGTCTGAATGCATGGCTGAGACGTCGCTCCAAAATTGCCACGTCCTTGAAAACTTCCACGACCACAGCTCGTCCCACCTCTCCCACTTTTTCCTCGTCTAGTTCCTTTCATTTCCTGCAACATCATATAAAAAGAAAATGATTTATTAGACTAGAGAAAATATTAATTCAAATAACAGAGAATTAAAATCAATTAATTGATGAAATATTTGAGTAAACCACTAATTTTACTTCACCACTGATTCTGTTATAAAATTAAAGCTTCAATCATTTCGAATTAATTTCATTCAATCTAATTAGGACAAAATTTCAGAGACCTTTTTAAAATAAGATGTAGACATAAAGCTACAAGCATCATGAACTAAGTTCATCGTAAGTCTAATAAGGACAAACATACAGAGAACTTCCAAAAATAAGATATCAACACAAAGCTTCAAGCACCAAGAACTAATTTCATTGTTAGTCTAATACGGACAATAATATGGACAAAAATACAGAGAATTTTCAAAACACGATGTAACATCTATATAATTAGTCTTTTGCTTCTTAGTCTTCAAAAGGATGTATCGGTGTCCTCCCCATCATCATCATCAAATAACTCTTCTTTGCTATCTTCACTCTCTGATATTTCTATATGATTGTCATTAATGAAATCATCTTCCTCATTATGCACATTGTTTTGAGCTTGCGTACTTGCATGATCATAGTTAATACTTTGTGGTTCAACATTATCCCTATGTAGAGACACCTCAACAATATTTTCTTGGTCATCGGTGCACGAAGTATTAAATTCAGCTTCCTCTTGTTGATAGACTTCTTCATTCAATAATTCTTCATGTTCACTTTATACACAATTATCATCATTATCAGGCACTTTAAAAAGGTCACGAGGATTTGTCTTCACAACAATAAGCCAATCCTTATCGACCATGTCGTCCAAGTAAAAGACTTGCTCCGACTGAGATGCCAACACAAATGGCTCATTTGTATTCAAGGCACATCGAGTATTCACACTTATGAAACCGTATTTGTCTATCTTATATCCTCTTCCTAAGCGAGCTACATCCCACCAATGACACTTGAATAAGTAAACTTTTCTATTTTCCACATAAGATAACTCATAAATGTCCTCTAATACACCATAATACTCCTCGTTAGAGTCTGAATCATCTTCTCTCACAAGAACACCACTATTCTGCATTTTTCTTCTCAATGCAAGCTCTTTTGTATGAAATCTAAATCCATTCACCATAAATATTGAATATCGATGTACTAATGGTGCAGGACCGACGGCTAAGCTTATGAGCTCATCATTTGCGCGTCCTTGTGAAGATAGTACAAATATCTACAAAAATGAACAACACTGTTATGACCAATAACATGATGGGATGATTAAACAAATATCAATATTATTAATTAAGTGGACACCTACACGTGCGCGAAACCAATCAAGAAACTCATTTTTATGAGCTCCCATTGAACTTTGGCTTTCAATCTCTCTTGTATATTCCCTACATTTCAAGTTAGTTAAGATTAATCTGGTTCAGATTATATCAGTGTGAAACTATCTTGGAGTTAATAAGAGACTTACTCCATGAAATGCGAAACCTCTTCACAATTTTGAAGCACATACATACATGCTTATTTAAACTCATCATGAGATAGCTTGATGCCTTCTAAAACACCTTTTGTTTGACCACTTTTTTTAAAGATAGACATCTCATCATTTGACACAGATCCATCATCATTCCTAGTTGGTTTATTAAACTTGGTTGAGATATTCTTCAAGTATCGTGAGCAAAATGTGAGGCTTTCCTCTGCCAAATAACCTTCTGCAATTGAACCTTCTGGACGATTTTTATTGCGAACGTATGACTTAAGTGTTCGCAAATACCTATATAAAATAACTCATTAATATAATATATGTTATTCTAAAACTATAGCATCGAAATTATTAAATAATAAATTACCTCTCTATAGGATACATATTCCGATATTGAGCTTGTCCACCAAGCTTTGCCTCACTTGACAAGTGAATTGGCAAATGAACCATGACATCAAAGAATGCCGGAGGGAAAACAAGTTGAAGTTTGCACAAAATAATAGGAATTTCTGCCTCTAGGATATCAAGATCTTCAATCGTCAAGCACTTAGAGTATATATTCTTGAAAAATTTTCCTAAAGCTATAATTGGATCACACACTTCCTTGGGTAGCAAACCACGTATAGCTACTGGAAAAATGTCTTGCAACAATACATGATGATCATGACATTTTAATCCATGTATCTTTTTTTCCTGTACATTGACACACCTTGAAATATTTGAGGAAAAGGCATCAGGAACCTTCAGATCAACCAAGAAACTACATACCTTCAGCTTCTCTTCCGGCGACAATGCATAGCATGCTGCAGGTAACAAAATATTGTTCCCATCCTCAATTGGATGCAACCTT